GCAGTACTAGGTAGAGAAACCCATCTGTTTTTAAGTTAAGTAGCATCGTTGCTAGTCCCTCTATGGTCAAAAGAGCGTCCGTGTTTCAGTGCATACTGTAGTCCGGAAACTACTGTTTTTTCTCACAAAAACTCTTATGGCTGGATCCAGCTGTTTTAATACATTTCTCTTACTAAGGAAGTATAACAGTCAGAGGGCAAGTTATAGAGAAAAAGAGTACCTGCTAGAAGCAGCTTAGAGCATTGATGCGATTCCCATTCATACCTGCCGTTTTTAGGAAATTGTGGAAGTTTCCTGCTGAAAATGCGCTCACAACGTACCATCAATTTCTCTACGATTAAGCTTACGTCTAAACAAAAAAGGAGAGAGGAGCTTGAAGAGGATTTAGAAAAAGTCATTACATCAAACTTTACTTGCTGTTTTGGGTCAAAGTTGAACATCCTCGACAGCAAGTTGAGCATTTTTTACATGTTCTGTAAATCATTTCTGAGCAAAAAAACGTTTATTGTTTCTTCCAAACGCGTACATCTTAGAGTGTCACTTCAACCAAGTATAATTCTTGTTAAAGGTTTTTTCTTCAATCTACAGCTTCACATCTTGACGCAGATCATGCTGGACGGTCTTGTGCGGGAGAGCTTACTTATTTAACAGTTAAAAGTATGTTTTTAATCCCCCGCGATGGTCTGCCTTTCATCATGGAGCGGGGGTGACTCTGGGTGTCGAACTGCGAAGTACAGCGGAGGCTTATCCTCCAGCAAGATCTCCCAAGCTAAGAATGAGTTCGACGTTTCCGGTTCCCCGGATGCCCAGCTAAGAGTAAGCCATGCCTTACATGAATCAGCAAACCACCTAGCGACTCAATCAGCCACCGCCTAACTGATTGAGTCGCTGGGTGGTTCGCTGATTCATATAAGGTCAGCGATTGCCTATGGTGAAAGCTTGGCAGGCTCTGGCAAGGCTCTGCCAGTGTTTGCTTAGAAGTTCTGACCGTACAGCATGAAGAGCAAAAAAAGTACTGGATCACATCTACGGCGTCGGACGTTATCAAGACCAGTGTCGGGTTGCAAAGGGAGTGGTGGATTTCGAACCAAAAGGACACATCAACGACTCGCCATGGAGATTGTCTCATGCTATCCACCTACAACGCCAGGACGCTCTCCACCAACGCCGATTTCCACGCCCTTCTCGAAACCGCAGGGCGCATCGACTAACACACAATCGCTTTGCAAGGAACAAAGTCCAAGAAGACGGACGTGAGGCAGCTGAGTGATGGCACACTCCTTCGTGGTGAAAAGGTTCCATCACAGAACGTTGGAGGCGTTGGATTTATCGTACACTCATCTTTTGTCCATCTTGTCGATTCGCATGAGATCCTATCACCTCGCCTGGCTACCTTTCGACTCCGTCTTCTGCATCAGAAAACCATCACTATCATCAACTGCTATTCTCCTACATCAGCAGCTAAAGATTCGGAACTTGATGCTTTTTATGAGGTTTTAGAGGAAGTCATCCGCAAAGAAAACTCCTTCTATAAGTTCGTCGTGGGTGACTTCGATGCGAAAATCAGGTTACCAGAAGAAGGGGAGCACAGGATCGGGAGATTTGGATCAAAACTTCAGTATGAGAATGGTAACCGTCTTGTCGGGCTCTTATCCGCCGCATGACTTCTTCATGGCAACTCCATCTTCACGAAGAACGAACACCGGCGGTGGACGTGGGAGTCACCCAACGGTATGACTCATGCGGAGATCGACCACATTTTCACCAACCGAAGGTGGTGCTTACTTGACGTCTCAATGGTACCATCCTTCAGCATTGGTGCCTCCTTTGAGCAGAAGTGCGTTCTAGCCGAAAGTTGAAAAAGAAGATCTGCCACCGTGTTGGAGGAAGAAGAGAAGTCGTATATGGCAGCATCAGATTGGAGGAGCTCCTGACCACCTGTGACTGGCCCATCGAGGAGGACCCGACGAAAGACTACGACCTGC